GGGGCGCGGTGGGGGGCGCGATGGGGGGCGCGGCGGGGGGCGCGGAGGAGCCCGCCTCGCCGCGGCGCCGGTCGCCGGTGGTGACGCAGCCGCTGGCGTCTGCGTGACGCCGCCTTGTTGACTCTATTGTAAATATTTCAATCTGTTAAGTAGTTCTAGGTGATTACAATTAGTTTATAAATTTGTGATTGCTTTGGTTGTAAATAAAAGTGATATTTGTTTAACTAATAAACGGAAAAGCTTTATGAAGTTTTGTTTGTCGTGCAGCGACCGAACCTCCCTCCCCCACCCTCCTTGCTCGTTCCAGTGTAGGAGAAGGTGCCATTTGACAATTGATTGCGCGGTATAAAAATATTTAGAGGACGGAAGATGTAAACAGTTGGAGAAGACAAACGGCTGCTACTCGTTTCAACTGCTCCATAACAATTTTGTATGTCGATGTCATTTACATATAATTCATTTTACTCTTCAACAAAGAGAAGTACAAACCCTTAGTTTCCGAGTCGTCGGGGGTCTTCTAGGAAGACTGAGTCTGGAGTCGGGCAGTACTTAATTTGTATTATTAACAAAAGTAAAAACAATTATGGATGGCTGGTATACACAAATAAGTCTTTTTTTCGAACTGTGCTGTGCCCGCGACTTCGTTCACGGGAAATACTGTGTTCGGGTAGCATTTTAATTATTTAGACTAATTATTTTACTTTAAATAAACAGCCTACAAATAAGTTTCAAGCTTGTAACTGTAAAAATGACAATACTTGTATACAAGTTTTCACCTCCACTCTCAATCATTTACAACCCATTTTACGCGTTAAAAATTAGCCTATGTAACGTATAACGAGAAGTTCAGATGTTGTTTCGGCATTAAAGCGAGACAGACAAACAAAGCTATTTTCGCATTTATAATGTAAATTAAAGTTTTTCAAACTTGTAATGTAAGGACTCGTAAGGATTATCTATTTTAAAACATAAAAGACGTCATTTGTGAATACTGTTGTACACTTTTTCTCTGAGAGCTGAGCAATTCGAGGCGACGAAATTCTTCATTGTAAGAAGACGTTTATTATTAAAAATAAATTTATCATTAGCTAAAAATACGACCCCACTGAGGGGCTCGGAGCATGTCCTAAGTCAGGGGTGACTAGGACATTGTCAACAACGCTGGCATAGTGCGAGTTGGTTGACTTCACATATATCTTTGAATTCCTTCGCAGACATGTGCAGGTTGCATCACGATGTTTCCTTCATCTTTAGAACGTCAGATAAATGTACATATAATAATAATAATAATGATTTTATTTATATCAGACAACATAGATCCATATTTTTATTCTTATCCTAGGATTAGTAAAGGCTTCAAAACTAATGTTAGTATTCACAATTTAGATTTTATATTAAAAAGAAATGAGGTTCCTCAGCGATGCCAGAATGCGCTAGTCTACATGTAAATGTATCCAATGCTCAGGATCACGTTAGGGCTGTCACGCATTCGCCGCAGTAGAGGCGCAGCGCTTCCGCATGATGGCATCGAACCCGTCAGTACGAGAGTCCGCGAACATGCCGAAGGCGCTGCAGTAACGCGGCAGCCCCAACAACATCCTGAACGCGTTGTTGTAATGCACACGTAGGCCTCTATATGCTCTCTGCGTGTAGTCAACCCACAGACTGCAGCCATAGAAAGATTGGCAGTATGCATTAAAAGAGTCGACATGTTTGGTACATTTTGCGAATCTACGGGCCAACATGTTGCAGCGAACAAACAGCGACCTATGTAAATGGGCAATCGAAATCGCCCGCGACCCTCTATAATATAAAATAAACTATCCAAATTATAAAAAAGAAAGTATATAAAATTGTATAAATAAAAATGTGTCTAACGAAATTTGTGCATGCCTGTTATTGGCATACATATGTAAAATGTTTGTGTGATTTTTGTTTTTCTGCTATTTTATATGTATGCTGTTGGCCTGTCTTAATAAATAAATAAATAAAATGAAACAGACAGATAATGTTGAACAATGTAAACATTGATATAGATATAAGAAATTGATATACTATTTAAAAAACATTTATTAGCAAGTATTGAAATGTGCATGCCGGAGGCCTAATTTTAGACTTCTGATTTAGGAGAAGACAATTTGACAGAGGACCTCTATCGATTGAAAGTAGGCAACGCATCTGAGATTGCGGGCTATGGGCAGCGGTCTCTTCGCTATTTTCGCGAATTCAGGTGGCCGCCTGCTCGTGTGCCAAATTATATGATATGATCAAAGGTCCAATATCACGGCCACCAGGTTCTGTGGATGAAAATCCGCTCGATTTTCTTACTGGGGATCTCTTAAAGACAAAGTCTATGCAAAACCACTGGAGAGAACTGACGAACTCCATCAAAGAATTTCAGATGCAGAATAAAAGATAAATCTACGGGGATATGAGTAAATAGTTAAAAGATCCTGAATCTGTAACCGAACTTTTAAACAAAAGGAGTTGGAGTTTTTGTTAGTATTTTTTCCCGAGTAATTATCGATCTGCTAAACATCATTGCCGTTTTATCGTTGGATTTAGGGACACGCTGTACATACAAACATTGTCGATCAGCAAGCTGCAAGCTGGGAATTGAAGAACATCATTCTTTCCATCATTGATGTTATTTTATAAAATATCTAAAATACAAAGGAAGACTACAAACTACCTTAACTTAACTTTACTTAACTTAACCCAAACTATTCCTCTCCAAATCTGAAGTTGCTTAATTTGGGCGCTGTACAGCTTCGAAGTCCGCGGAGTTTCTAATAAATATTTTCCATATCTAAATGATGGATTGTCACTTATACGGTCACTTTCTGGGTTCTTTAGGAATAGAAAAATACTTTGGTTATTTTTGTAGTTTTTTAACTTTATTTCATTAAAATGCATTTTGGTTTCGCTTTATAATACAACATTACAATCTATACAAAATTACATTCAAAATAAATAGTATCGAGTAAAATGCGTCGGGCAGCGGCCACCACCGGCCTTACATCATTTACATTACAATCTTAATGTTAACAATTTGTTCGTTCATTTAATCAAAAAAAGAGTGGTAGAGCTAACCGCAAGCAAACTTGATCACCATGTCTGTGTCTGCCGAGTGCGCACTCGACCCGCCATGTCTGTGTCTGCCGAGTGCGCACTCGACCCGCCATGTCTGTGTCTGCCGAGTGCGCACTCGACCCGCCATGTCTGTGTCTGCCGAGTG